CTTCTATGACTACACAGGACAACAAATGCCTGAAAGGACTGGGCTTCCCTCTTCCGGAAAGCTTTGACGTGCCAAAGGACTACGTGCAGGTGCCCGAAATCAAGGACGCCTTCCCGGCTACATCATCCACTACACCGCCTATGAATCCGAAAACACCTACTGAGGAGAACGATACGCTGGAGCCCTCCGAACAGGAACGCTCCAGGTGGGAGGCTCAAATCGCCAAGTTTCACAAGGCGGCCGGTCATCCTACCAACCGCAACTTGGCGAAGATTGTCAAGGACGCTGGACATCCGGAGTGGAAAGTCCAAACAGCACTACACCACCACTGCCCCTCTTGTCAAAGCTTGAAACAAGGTGGCACAAGCTCAGGCCAGATACCACCGGCGTCGACCCACTCCTTGTATGGCGCTTGGGAAGCTGTTGGTGTGGACTCTGCTGAATGGATACCTCCAGGTGGCAAAAAGAAGGTGAAGTTCCTCCTCTTTATGGACTTGGCCACAAAACTCAGAGTGGTGAAGCCTCTCTTCACCTACGACTTCCTCGAGATGAAGGCGGAGTCCGGCGAGAACCTAATTCAAGGGTTCACAGAAGGATGGTTGAGCTGCTTTCCCAAGCCAAAACTCCTGGTGCTCGATGCTGCTAAAAGCTTCGTATCCGAGGCCGTACATGACTTTGCAAGCAATGTCAACGTTCAAGTTTCCTATGTGGCCGAGAAGGAGGCATGGTCGCATGGCACTCTAGAAGCTGGAGTGCAAGACATCAAGACAACGGCGTCGGCAATACATTTGGAGAATTTGGACATGGACCCAACGGTGACGTTGGTGTTGGCAGCATCAGCCCTGAACGCCACGGAGTACACCGGAGGATTCTCCTCCTTCCAATGGGCTTTCGGACGCGAATACTCTCTGACCGACGAGGACGTGCGCACGTTTCTCACGTCCGACTACCAGGGAGAGTTTGTCAAACTGGTACAGGCTAGATCAGATGCTGAGCGCATTGCACGAAATTCTCGTGCAAGAAGAGTTTTATCAAGGCTGGCCAACACCACGGTGAGACAACCTCTACGTGAATTCAGCCCCATGGAGCTGGTGAAGGTGTGGCGCAAGGTTTGGCCTCAGCAACAGTTTAAGGGGCCACGGGGCGGATTTCGCAAATCCGGACGTCCGCATTGGATTGGACCGGGACGTGTGGTTTTTCATGAAGTGCTTCCGCACCAAGAAAGTGATGATGCTCGACGTCATATTGTGTGGGTGCTGATAGGATCTCAGATGTTTCGGTGCTCAGTACATTCTGTGCGGCCAGTTACTGAAACTGAGAAGTTTCAGTTTGAGACTTCAGGCGAGGACCAGTCGTCGACCTGGAAGACTTTGGCAGACATACTGCCAAATCGGGAATACGTGGACATTGTCAACCAGGAGCCCGACGAGACTGAGGTCGAGGTTCCGAATTTGCCGTTGTACCCCGACAAGACAACGCTGGTTCAGCCTACCCGGCGAGTCCCAAAGAAGACTACCTTGGTGTCTCCATATCCTGCGACACCGCTCAAGCCACCGGAAACGATAGCGACAGAGGCCGTAACGTCTTCAGCACCTTCTACTACAACACCGGCGGCGACTACTACCCGTACACTGGAGGATGCGGTCAACGACTACGGCGATACCGAGGCAAAACGTCCCCGAACAGAGCCTACATGGGTGGACGAGCTCTACATGGAGGAATCGGCACCCAAGGATACCATCGACATCTATTCGGCCTTCCAGGAGACTGTCGACTTCCTAAAGGTTGAGTTCGATTTGCCGTCACCGGCATCCAACAGACAACGCAAACTACTTGAGCGCAATCCTGTGCTGTATTTGGTGAAAAAGATGAAGGATTCTGAAGTCGTGCTATCACGACTCAACGAGCGGGACAAGGCTCTATTTCACCGGGCAAAGATGAAAGAGGTGGACTCGTTCATCAAGAATGAGGCGGTCAGGAAGTGCTTGGATGACGCTGAGCTCCGTCAGGCAGTCGACTCCGGACGGATTGTGAAGGCACGATGGGTGTTGACTTGGAAGCTTGTTCCCCCTGAAGATCAAGCTGAAGCCATGGAAGACAACAGAACAAATCCTAAGACTGTACACACTGCCGACGGCAGCAAGAAGGCAAAGGCCAGAATTGTTTTGTTGGGCTTCCAACATCCCAGCTTGCTGGATCCAAGTTTCAAGACGGCGAGCCCTGTGCAATCGATGCTGGGACGAAATTTGCTGTATGCCATGGCAGCCGACTCACAATGGGACTTGGAAGGCTTAGACTTGGCAACAGCCTTTCTTCAGACGCAGCCCACCGAGGCGGACCAAGAGCTGTGGACAACTGGGGTTCAAGAGCTTAGAGAAGCACTGGGCCTCGATGCAACCAGTGTGATGCGGGTGCTTCGCAACATCTACGGCTCCACGACGGCACCCCGAGGTCTATGGCTTTCACTACACAAAACTCTTACGAGTCTTGGTGCCCAAGCAGTTCTCGGCGAACGTTGTCTATGGATCTGGCTGTCTAAGATAGTTCGAGATGGCAACCATCCCAAAACTATTGGCGCAATGGGTGGCCATGTTGATGACTTCCATCGGATTGGTGATGGTTCTCCGGAGTGGATGGAGATACGCGAACGCATCAACTCAGCATACAAGTGGGGCATGACCAAAACTGGGTCCTACCGACATGCTGGAACGGATGTTTCCACAGTGATGGACAGCAACGGCTATAAGAAGATCGTGGTAGATCAGAGCTACTACATCGAGGCGCTCACCGATGTGGACATCGATCCGGATCGCCTACGGTCTGAGTCCTCCTTAAGCCGAGCAGATTTGGAAGCATGCCGGGCATCTCTAGGAGCCTTACAGTGGGTTGCCATTCAATCACAACCTCAAGTATGTGCCAGATGCAATTTGTTGCTCACCGATCTGGTGACCAATGAAACGATGGAGACCGCCAGAGAGATCCAACAAGTGGTGGCAGAGGTGCGTCAGGAACCCTTTTGTCTGCACTTTCAGAAGTTCACCAAGGCCAAGCACTGGAGCGACGTGGTGTTCATCTCCATGGGCGATCAGGCGCATGCGAACAGGCCTAAGGGTGACTCCACTGGTGGCCTGGTGACGTTGATCTCTGGACCAGAGAGTGTCTCTGGCTGTGTCTGCCCTATGTCCTTGATTGGATGGCGGACATGGAAGCTCCAAAGGAAGGCCATAAGCAGCAACGATGCCGAAGTGCAGTCTATCTTGGAGGCTGAAGACCACAACTTCCGAGCAAGACTACTGTGGTCCGAGCTACACGGTGCTGGAGGTGTTGATCCAGAACGACCCCTTCGAGTCAACATGATCAACCTCCTCGAGAATCAGATCGCGAGGATCAAGGGCATTCTCTGCACGGACAGTAGAGGTGGCTATGACGCGGTGGAAGTGAATGAGTCGCCACTGCTGGGCTTGTCAAATATGCGAGCAGCTCTCCAGGCCTTTCAGTTGAGAGGCAATCTCCAACGAGCTGCGTGTGAACTACGCTGGCTGGCGAGCGACTTCGACTTGGCCGACGCCTTGACCAAGAAACGAGCTGACTGCAGGGAAGGGCTTTTAAAGTTCTTAAGGACCGGACACTGGTGCATCCGGTATGATCCATCTTTTACATCTGCTAAGAAAAGCAAGAAGGCCGGCAGATCAGCTGTAGGAACTGTGCAGAAGTTTCTTGAAGCCCCTCAACCTGAGCTTGACATGAACATGTCTGCTGCTGACTTCTTTTGGGGGTGGTGCAGCAGATTAGATCGATTGCTGTTGGAAGAGTGATTCAGCAGCTGCTCATGTTGCATTCAGGCTTACGAGGGGCCCCTCTTTCGGTAGCCATCACGAGCCATAGCAGCGAGCGCTTTGTGTGCTTTAAAAGACTTAGAGCGTGTGCGCTCTTGTGCTGGTGAGATTGAGTACGTTGGCAACTCCCCTTGTGTTCTAGAAGCCCAATCACGCGCCAGTGCAGCTTACTCCGCTGCATATACCATAGTAAATAAGCGTTTGTTTCAGTATACTATGGTATACTAGATTATAGAAATAGTGCATCATAGTCTGTTAAAGTATATATTCCTATACCATCGTTTGTTGTGGCGTTTTTTTAAGTTAGTATACCATAGTAGTTCCTGGTATATCACAGCATATCATAGTATACCATGGTGCATCTCTTCACATCATAGTTTATCACAGTCTGTTATAGTATATCATAATATATCCGAGTGTATCCAAGTATTTGTCATAGTATGTTGTAGTATATAGTAATATAGTAGTATACCATGGCATATTGTAGTATAAGAGTATCATAAGTTTTTTAAACCTTATGTCATCCTATTTTTCGTACATCATAATATATGGTGGTGTACTGTCGCATGTCACAGTATGTTATAGTATATCATAGTACTTTATTATTTGTTTATAGCGCGTTAGAGCACAACATAGACTGTTATAGTAGGCTAAAGTATTTCATAGTGTATCATAGGACATTACCGCAAATTTTGTATACCTCAGTGTTTATGGTATATTCTAGTGTATTACCGTTTGACATATCATAATAAACCAGGGTATAATATTTGATAGTATATCATAGTACATGTTGGTATGTCATAGTAGATGTCAATAGCCTGTTATAGTATGTTATGGTATGTCATAGTATACCATTGTATGCTATAGCATGTCATAGTAGGTCATAGTATAAAAACGCATTTTCACGGTATATTGCAGCACAGTGTAGTCTGTTGTATTTCTGTAATACTAAATGGAAATGTCCGGGCCGGATGTCGAAATACCACGCACTTACTACCAATAAACTACAATGTACCATAGACTATAGCATACCCTTACTGGTGTTTATATACTATAGTACACTATCATGTACTATAACGAACTATGGTGTACTAGAGCAAACTACAAAATGTACTAGAGATATATTATACCATCCTAGAATATGCTACACTCCCTCATCCTCAGGGGCCCGCCGGCGCTTTTCCCCCAGATCTGCAAGCAATGTCGGCGGGAGCCTTCCCGGAGGCCGTGCTGACGTAGTGATACCATGAGATACGATGAGATGCTATAACCTACTAAACTAGGTTTAGGTTTCGGGTTTCGGGTTTNNGGTTTAGGGTTTAGGGTAGGGGCACCTTATTTGCGGTCGGATCCTGAAAATCCTACTGCGCAAGCGACGGCTCGCGAGGAGTGAGAACTGTTGATGTCTCCCTTCTTCAAAGCCTCAAGCCTCTTGAGCCCAGAGCGGCCCTAAATCACGAGAGTTCGAAGCCGCGAGAAAGAACACATTGACTTAGAATACACCACAATGATCCGAACAATTCAGAGCTGCCACTCACAAGACCCGAAGCTCTGAAGTTCTGAAGTCGACTAGCTCTGTGTCTGGGGAGACCTTAAAGCTCTTCCCACGTATTAAGGACACAATCAAAGACCACAAAACCAAGCAACACCGACAGCCCATTTATCACACACCACCAGAGTTCACAATCCCAAGCCCTAGAGAACACCGAAGCCCGTAAAACCGAGAGCCTCAAGACTTAAAGTTGCGCTGAAGCTGGAAAGCCTAAGTCCTGGGCAGCTGAACATACGTGGAGAACGTGACTCCCACGGCACGGCGTAAGCCCTTCAGCAAAGCCTAAAGTCCTGGAGCCCTTTTCCAAGCAGTCCCTAAACCCCAAAAGAAGGAACCCTAAAACCCTAAAACCCTAAACCCTAAACCCCTCAACCCCTAAATCCTAAACCCTTAAACCGTAAACCCCTAAACCCGTAAACCCCTAAACCTCTAAACCCTAT